CCCTCTACAGCTAAGATGTTGAACAACAGCTCAACCTGGAGCTGGGCTGCCATGAGTCGCCTGCAAAGGCAGGTGGGTTGCCATGGGCTACTGTCTGTAGCCAGCAGACAGCGTGAGCAGCTGTCCAGAAGCTGGCGACTGATGTGCCTCGCCTGGGAGGAGCGCAATGATGGTGCCAACTTGTGAGAGTAAAGCAACATCCTCCACAACTAGACTGAAGAACAAAAGGACAGCAACTTATCTGTTCCCCTTCCCTGATTCCCCAATGCTGTTCCCCTCCCCCAATTCCCAAAATCTTGGGGGAAAAAAAGAAGTCCCTTTAAGATTTTTTGTATACTGGTTTGGTGGTGACGAACTCCTTTAGCTTTTCTTGTCTGGGAAACTCTTTATCTATCCTTAGATTCTAAATGATAGTTTGCTGGGTAGAATAATCTTGGTTATAGGTCCTTGCTTTTCATCACTTTGAATATTTTGTGCCTATCCCTTCTGACCTGCAAAGTTTCTGTTGTGAAATCAGCTGACAGTCTTATGGGAGCTCCCTTGTAGGTAACTAACTGCTTTTCTCGCTGCTTTTAAGATTCTCTGTCTTTAACCTTTAGAATTTTAATTATGATCTGTCTTGATGTGGACCTTTATGGGTTCATCTTGTTTGGGACTCTATGTGCTTCCTGGGCTTGAATATCCATTTCCTTCACCAGGTTGGGGAAGTTTTCTGTCATTATGTCTTCAAATAGGTTCGGTTTTCAATTCCTTGCTCTCTCTCTTCTATTTTTGGTATCCCTATGATGTAAATGTTGTTACGCTTGATGTTGTCCCAGAGGCTCCTTAACTGTCCTCATTTTTTTAATTCCTTTTTCTTTTTGCTGTTCTGATTGGGTGTTTTCTGCTACCTTATCTTCTAAATCATTGATTCTATCCTCTGCTTCATCTAATCCACTGTTGATTTTCTCTAATGTATTCTTCATTTCGGTTATTGTAGTCTTCATTTCTGACTGGTTCATTTTTGTTTTCTATCTCCATTTTTATATTTCCTATCTCTTTGCTGAAGTCCTCCCTGAGCTCCTTGAGCATCCTTATAACCAGTGTTTTGAACTCTGCATCAGACAGATTGTTTCTGTTTTGTTTAGTTCTTTTTCTGAAGCTTTGTTCTGGTCTTTTATTTGGGACATTTATTTGTCTCCACAATTTGGCTGCCTCCCTGTGTTTGTTTCTATGTATTAGGCAGGCT